TTTTCCATGGCTCAGTGGGCATAAAATTGGAAGATGAGGAGGCAATAACAATCTATCGCATTAGGTCTTCTGCCCTCTCCCTTGTATCGCGCTACCGTCCAACGAGTTTTGCAGTTTGTCGATCGTTCATTCTGCATTATTTTTGTCCTTACAGTTGTTGAAACTCACTCCATATCCTTGGCTCATTTTATCTTTCTCTTCTTTCATGATTCACTCACTAATTTTTATCTAACCATAATTCATTGAATTTCCAAGCGACTTCACATTCGATGAGACATTCGAATAATGATTGATTCAAGCAGACTTTATCAACTAAGAGAGATTTTTATGAGCTTGCTTGAAATTGACTCCATCACTCACCCCATCCTTCCCCTCTCCTTCTATCTCACTGGCTATGTTCTGATGTCTGTCCTCTGGAAACATCGTTTTTTAAGCAACGTAACACAATTCCGATTTCCTTATTACAGAAAAAAGAGCTTCAGTTAAGCTTACCTCTCGTTTCTCGTACAAATGACCTCTTTTCAATTTCACTTACTTGACACTTCGAAGAAAATTTCCTATGCGTAATGGTGGCGCTTTGTTATAGTGCTTCTTCCCTTTCTGACAACTGTTATAACTTCGCATTGTTCATTCCTCCCGTCTCTCTGATTCGCCGTTTAATTCTTCATTTTGGCTTACCAAAATTTTGTTTACGGTTGATTTGGTTCCTTTCTTGTCCTTGAGGCGGAAACATTCATCAGTTTTGCATACTGCTCAGTCCATTCGACGACCCTTTGGAAGCGCGGAAGGAGAAGGAAATCAGCTGATAAGTGATTTCTTTAAGGCAGAATTTCGATATTAATAAAATTCAAACTGAACTTTCTGAGACTTCTCAATGTAATTAGTCGGCAACGAAATACTTGGAGTCATCTTCGGTCGCTTTCCTGTTAACTTCCTGCTGGTGGAGTTATTTAGTCGTTATATTGCAAAATTTCCAGTACCGGAAAGCCATTCATCATTTTTCAGAAGAGATTGTCCTTGACTACCGTTTTCTATTCGATGGTCCATCTTGGTGAATATAACTCTGTTCTTTTCCTTTTCTTTTCATCCCAAAAAAATTCTTCAAAATTCGAAATAAAATCAGCTTTTCTGTTCGTAACTAATCATTGTCTTCATTCGTGGTATCATCGCTCTTCAGCGAAATCAAACGATTGAAAGCCATCGAAAGTCCTATCGAACAAAGCGATCGAGCCGATCTTGCTGTTGTTCTGCGAACCAGTTACTTATTAGTGAGATATTCTTTTGATTTTTTAGACAAATTGAGATAATAATAATAATAATAATAATAATAATAATAATAATAATAATAATAATAATAATAATAATAATAATAATAATAATAATAATAATAATAATAATAATAATAATAATAATAATAATAATAATAATAATAATAATAATAATAATAATAATAATAATAATAATAATAATAATAATAATAATAATAATAATAATAATAATAATAATAATAATAATAATAATAATAATAA